GGTTGTCCCAGGGTTTCCTGCACGCATGCACGCCCTGGTGTTCACACGCCACTCAGTCTATATCCCAGGAAATGTGCACACAGCCCAGAGTGTGCAGTGTTCTGTGTCCCAGAAAATGTCACATGGCCCTGCGTGTGCACCCGCCACGTTCTGTGTTCAGGAATGTGCTCACAGCCCATGCACTCAGGGCCTTGTGCGTGTTTCCTGGGATGCAGAATGCCACGTGCACATGCAGGGCCATGTGCCAGTGTCCCGGGAACTGAAATGCTGTGGGTGCCTGTGCAGGGCTGAGCCATGTTTCCTGGGATGCGGAACATTGTGTGCGCATGCTCAGGGCTGCATGCACACTTTCTGGGATATGAGACGCTGTGCTACACACTCAGGACTGTACCACATTTCTGGGATGCATGCCCCAGTGCATGCATAATAGTCCATATCCCAGGAAGCTTGCACACAGCAGCGAGGGTTCATGCACAGCATCCTGCATCCCAGAAAAGGTGCATGGGCCAGATGCCGGTGGCTCACGCCTGAAGCCTAGCTACTCAGGAGGCTGAGATCTGAGGATCATGGTTCAAAGCCAGCCCGGGCAGGAAAGTCCATGAGACTCTTATCTCCAATAAACCACCAGAAAACTGGAAGTGGTGCTGTGGCTCAAGTGGTAGCGTGCTCGCCTTGAGCTGAAGGACAGTGCGCAGGCCCAGAGTTCAAGCCCCAGGACTGACAAAAAAAAGGTGCACATGGCTCTGAGTGTGTACATTCCACATCCTAGGAAACATGTCCACAGCCAAGTGTGCATACACAACATTCCATATCCCAGGAAAGGTGCGAACATCCCTGCGTGTGCACGCACGGCGCTCTACACCTAGGAAACGTGCACACATCCCTGCGTGTGCACGCACAGCGTTCTGAATCCCAAGAACGACCATGTGTCCAATAGCACTTGGGTATCTCGCTCCTTTGGCCAGCTTTGCACCGTGCTGGTGCTGGCTGAGTCAGGCCAAGTAAACACTAGCCTCACACATCAGGTTTTTCTAGAAACAGCAGACAGGTCCGTAGTGGCAGTTTTGGATGGGACTCAGCACCCCCTCCCCCATGGATTTGGTACGAGGTGGGTACACCAGGGCTCACACACATTGGGCTTGCGCCCGCCACGGAGCATACCATCTTGAGCAACCGCTCCTTGGCCGTCTTGAGCTTCTGTTCGCTTCCAGTCTTGTACAGTTGTTGTCTGTCTCCATGGGCCCTGGACTTAGTGGGCCTCACTGCAGGGCACTGGTGAGGACGCATCCCTTCGGCAGCCCAAAGCCCCCTGGCCCTGCCCACCACCAAGGCTGGCAGGCTCCCCGTGCAGGCCTGGCCCCGCAGGCCCCTCCTGGAGGGGTGCTAAGCCAGGCCCACTGGCCCACCTGTCCTTCCCAGATTTCTGAGCCCTGGCCTGCCCTGTGTGCTGCAAATGCGCTCTCTGCCCTGTGACAGAGGAGATGCCTCTGGTTTCTGTGGACATTTCTCCCGAGGGTAGAGATGTGTGGACATTTCCCCCGAGGGTAGAGATGGACCGTTTCCATATGTTTAGGAGTGTTTTCTTTTTTTTTTTTTGGGTCCGGTCGTGGGGCCTGAACTCTGGGCCTGGGCGCTGTCCCTCAGCTCTTCAGCTCAAGGCTAGCACTCTACCACTTGAGCCACAGCACCACTTCTGGCTTTTTTCTTATGTGGTGCTGAGGAATTGAACCAAGGGCCTCGAGCATGCAAGGCAAGCGCTCTACCACTGAGCCACCTTCCCAGCCCCTAGGAGTGTTTTCTTTGCCTGCGTGTCTCGGCCCGGCTTTGTAGAGCCAGGCTCTCCACAGTGCAGGCTGCCTCGCAGCCCACCAGGACCCCCGTTTTGCTTAGGCAGTGGGTGTGTGGTTCGCAGATGATGGATCGTGTTGTTAGGTGGGTGCCCTTCCCTGCTTAGAGCATATATCAGATTCTGCTTTCTACTTTTGTGGATTCATTCTCACATTTTAAATGTTGATCTCTAAGTGTGGGTCAGGAAATTTGTCTTAAATTTTAAATAGCTAACCAGTTGTTCTTACACCACTTACTGATAAACTCACATCTTTACAGATTTTGAAGTCTTCATAGTATACTGAAGTGCCAGCCCTGGTGGTTCTGAGCTTTATCACAGCTTTCTGATGACTGCAGATTTGTGATACAAAGCTGATAGGTCAGGGGAATGAGCCATTATATACTTGTGTCCGCAGCCCTGTCCGGACATCAGGGTTGAGATGCAAGGTGTTGTTCTAGAATGTAACTGAGAACTCAGTGGTCACTCTCATGCTTTTTGTAGCCCACCTTTTAAGGTGTCTGCCTGGCTTTATTAAAAGGTGGACTTGGGCCGCATGTGGCCGGCAGGCAGGGCAGGGTGGAGGCAGGGAGGAGTGTGTGCTTGCCCAGGCCCCAGGCAGTCCCCCAGCCCAGGTGCTCAGCCGTTTCACTTGGGCCCCTGAATCAGACCACGGGACAGGCTTGCCCCAGGGGACAGGGGGCGCCCGGGCTGGGGGAGCACCCCTGCAGCCTGCAGGTCCCGGGCAGCTCCTCCCTCAGGGTTCCCTGCGTTCCCTTCCTGAGAGTCTCTCTACACACCCACACACCCACACCGTACTGGTCAGCCTTGCCAGAACTGAGTCCGTGCCGCAGGGTCCCCTGAGACGTGGAAAGTGGTCTTCACCCCAGGCGAGGGGTGCCCAGAGTGACTGGCAGGGCAACCCCAGCGTAACCACCCGAGAGGTGGGGTGTGGGCACCTCAGCCGGCTTCCTGCCGAGCCTACCCACCTGGCTGCCTCCTCGGCCCTGTCCCACCACCCCATGCCATCCTTGCTCCTGGGACTGGGTACTCCAGGCTCCCACCCTGAGCTTGGAGCCAGGGAGAAGACCCACAGGGGAGAGGGTGGCCTTACAAGCCGGGCAAGACCCAGGGCAGGGGGGGTGCATTACACGTGGCCACCAAGTGTTGTAGGGTGGGGGTGGATGAGGTTAGCACCAGAAGGAAGGGCTCAGCAGGGGGCGTGGCTTCCAGGAGGACAAAGGGCACTGACAGGAGGGGAGGGGGAGGGGGAGGAGGACCAGGTAAGCACAGCCCAGAGGGGGCAAACTCTGGAGAAAGTTATGAGAGCCGTGAGGCTGGGTGTGTGAACTGAGTGGACAGCAGGAAGTCCTCTGGCGGCCCACTGCCCTGCCCCTCCCCCTCGCCTGCCACCCGTGGCTCAGCTCCAGCCAGAAGGTGTGAGGAGCTGTGCCACCTCCCTCCACCCTGGGCAGGACAGAGCTGGGCCTGGGGGTGGCACAAGGGTCCTGCCTGCCTAGGGCTGCCCCTGGCCAGACCCCTTGCATGAGACACACGCGAGCCCAGCCCCAAACCACACTGCCAGGGCCCCCAGAGCGAAGCCCATGGGCAGGGGCCTCGCGGGGCTCCCTTGGTGAAGGGGGCCCTGGATGTCGAGGGGCCCCTTGACGCAGCACGCCTTGCCGGTGGCCATGCGGCCTTTCCACACCAAGACGGCAGGGGTGCAGCCCCGCTGCTAAAGGGGCATCCTGGGGCTGTGCCTCTGTCCAGCCTGAGGCAGGCAGCAGAGGCCCAGGCTGAGAAATGGATGGGCAAGGATGGGCTGGCGGGAGCCGCAGGTCCAGCGGGAGGTTTGCGAGCGGCAGCGCCCGCGCCGCAGCCGCAGCCGGAGAGGCTGCAGTGGCGGCTCTGGCCGCCTCCGTTTCCTCATGTGTTACAGGCAGAACCACAGCACAGGGCCTGAGGTAGCTCGGGCGGGCAGCTAGACCCTAGGGCGGCACTGTTGTGCCCTCGAGACTGTCCCCATGGAGTGACACAGGGCAGGGCAGCCGGCAGGACCAGGAGCCAGGGGGAGGGGTGCCCTGCACGGAGGGGACACAGCCTGGAGGCCCCAAAGCTCCCAGCTGGCCTGGCCCTGCCAGGTCCCCGCTGGGCACCACCAGGATGGATGTTTCAGCGGCTGGCACAGCCTAGCCCATCCGCCCAGCACCCACCCAGGGTGGATGTCGGCCCTTCCTCCCAGTGTGGCAGAGCCCTGGGAACTTCCCAGCAGAGCTGGGCAAGGTTGGCACGGAAGGGCAGGGGCAGACCCAGCCATGGAGCGGCCTTCTCCAGAGGGCGGTTGCTGCTGCTTGCCCGGCAGCCCGGGGCTGACACCTAAGACATTGCTGATGCTCTAAGGCTGAGCTTTCTGGATCCTTCCAGGGCTCCCTAGCAGCTGCCCGAATCCGGGAAGCCCCTGCTGAGCCGTGGCACTAAGTCTCCGTGCTCACCAGCACCTCACAGCCCACCTGGCCTAATGGAGGCTGGTCACAGGCTGGGCCACAGGCCGGGCCCCGCTCACTAATGCAGCCCTGTGAGGCCTGGGGTCCGCCGGGGATTTGGGCCCCGCCGCCGCAGCTCCCTCCCTCCCGGGCGTCCCCTTCCTACCCCACCCCGGAGGGTGGCCGTTTGGCTGGGGTGCGGGGTCCCTCCCAGCCCCCAGGGCTCCACCCCAGGAGGGGGCCTCGGCCAGTGGCGCGGCGCAGGGGCCGCTGACCTCGGTCTTTCGGGCCGGGAGCCCAACCCGACGACCCCGTCTGCCCTCCGGGAAGCGGGCAGAGGGCTCCCCGGTCCGGGCCAGGCACGGGGCGCGCGGGAAGCCCGGCGCGGGGCCACACGCGGGGCCGGGCCCGGCGGGAGGGAGCGGGGCGGGCGCGGCGGCGCTCCCTCCCGCACCAGCGAGCCGCAGCGGCTCCCCAGCCCGCGCCCCCTGCGTCCCCGCTGGCGCCCGCAAGGACCAGAACCCGGGCAGGGCGCAGCGCCGCTCCAGCGCGGCCTCCGGCGTTTATTGAGCGAAGTTCCGGGCTGGGCGCGCGTGGCTCGGCCCCGCCCTCTTCCCCTCTTCCAGGTGCCGTCTGTCGGTCTGTCCGTGCGTCCCGGCCCGGTCCGGTCCCAGTCCCTGGTCCCGCCGCCCTCAGAGGTGCGGGGCGTAGAAGGCGGGCGCGCCGTAGGGCTGCGAGCCCAGCACGAAGGGCGACAGCACGGCGGGGCCGGGCAGGAAGGGCAGCTGCGCGGCGCACACGAGCCCGCCGGGGCCGTGCGCCGGGTACCCCGCGGGGCCGTGCACGGCGAGCGGCGCGCCCACGGGCGGCGAGGGGCTCAGCGGGCTCAGGCCGCCCGCCAGCCCCGCGCCCGGGCCCGGGCCGGGCCCCGCGCCGCCGCCGCCCGCGGGCGCGCTGGTGTCCGCGCCCGGGTTCTGCTTCTTCCACTTGGTGCGGCGGTTCTGGAACCAGATCTTCACCTGCGTCTCGGTGAGGCTGAGCGACAGCGCCAGGTTGAGGCGCTCGCACACCGACAGGTAGCGCGTGGCCTTGAACTTGTTCTCCAGCGCCACGAGCTGCTCATAGGTGAAGGCGGTGCGCGCGCGCCGCGGCTTCCCGGACTTGGAGTCGGAGCCCGCGCGCTTGCGCTTGGGCTTGGCCGGCGCGCCCGCCGCGCCCCCCGCCGCCGTCCCGGGGCCGCCCCGCGCGCCCGCGGCCCCCTCGCCGGCCGGGGCCGCCTCCGCCTCCGCCGTCCCGGCGCAGCCCGACCCGCGGGCGCCGGGGCCGCCGTCTCCGCCGGCCGCCGCCTCCGCGCCCCGCGCCGGCGCCTCGTCCTCCTCCTCGGGCGCGTCGTCCCCGCTGTCCGCGCTCGGGCTGTGGCCGCCGCCGCTGCTGTAGCCATTGGCTTCGGCCTCGTCGGCCTTGTAGGGGTCGGCGGTACCTGCGGGCGCGGGGCAGGGGAGGACGGGGAGGGGCAGGGGAGGACGGGGAGGGGCAGGGGAGGACGGGGAGGGGCAGGGGAGGACGGGGAGGGGCAGGGGAGGACGGGGAGGGGCAGGGGAGGATGGGGGGCAGGGGAGGACGGGGAGGGGCAGGGGAGGACGGGGAGGGGCAGGAAAGGACGGGGAGGGGCAGGGGAGGACGGGGAGGGGCAGGGGAGGACGGGGAGGGGCAGGGGAGGACGGGGAGGGGCAGGGGAGGACGGGGAGGGGCAGGGGAGGACGGGGAGGGGCAGGGGAGGACGGGGAGGGGCAGGGGAGGACGGGGAAGGGCAGGGGAGGACGAGGAGGGGCAGGAAAGGACGGGGAGGGGCAGGGGAGGACGGGGAGGGGCAGGGGAGGACGGGGAGGGGCAGGGGAGGGGCAGGGGAGGACGGGGAGGGGCAAGAAAGGACGGGGAGGGGCAAGAAAGGACGGGGAGGGGCAGGGGAGGACGGGGAGGGGCAGGGGAGGACGGGGAGGGGCAGGGGAGGACGGGGGTCAGGGGAGGACGGGGGGCAGGGGAGGACGGGGGGCAGGGGAGGGCGGGGGTCGGGAGGGCGGGGGTCAGGGGAGGGGTGGGGAGGACAGGAGGGCAGGGGTCAGGAAGATGGGGGATCAAGACAGGACGGAGATGAGGGGAAGATGGGAGTCGGGAGGGCAGAGGTCAGGGGAGATGGGGGTCAGAGGAGGAGAGAGGTCAGGGGAGATGGGGTCAGGCTTCGCACCTGCACCCGGCCTGCCCCTCCTTGGGCCGCGTGCCCCTCTTCGTTTGCCCTCCTCCCCGTTTCCGTTTCCCGATCCAATTTCGTTTGTTCGGTCTGCACCCGGCTCGGGCGCCTGCCTTGGCCCGCCCGGGCCCGGCCGCCCGGGAGGGAGCGCGGCCACCGGGGAGCGCCAGGATCCCACCAGGCCTGGGCCGCCCAGTGACCACCGGGAGGCCCGATCGATCCTCGGGCAGACACCAACTTAATTAAACTCCTTTTGTGTGATGTACAAACTAGTTAAGGGCCGTTTAATTTATCTCAGCGCACATCATCCTCCAATTACAGCAGGCGTGGGACCAGGGATCACAGGAGTTAGCCGAGAACATGGCGGGACGGGGCGGCGCCGAGGGCACCGCCACCCCGGCCTCTCCCACCTCGGCCCGGGCCGCGGCGCCGGCACCTGGCCTAGTGGGGCTCCCGGCCTGTCAGGAGCCCTGTCCCCATTCCCCACGGGGCTCGGCTCTGCCCAAGCCCACAGACAAGAGGGGCGCTGGGCATCCAGCCCCGGGGCAGAGCTGGGCAGACCCGCATCCCACAGAGGGAGAGGGGCGCTGGGCATCCAGCCCCGGGGCAGAGCCGGGCAGCAGACCCGCATCCCACAGAGGGAGAGGGGCGCTGGGCATCCAGCCCCGGGGCAGAGCTGGGCAGCAGACAGACCCGCATCCCACAGAGGGAGAGGGGCGCTGGGCGTCCAGCCCCGGGCAGCCAGGCAGCAGACAGACCCGCATCCCACAGAGGGAGAGGGGTGCTGGGCGTCCAGCCCCGGGGCAGAGCTGGGCAGCAGACAGACCCGCATCCCACAGAGGGAGAGGGGTGCTGGGCGTCCAGCCCCGGGGCAGAGCTGGGCAGCAGACAGACCCGCATCCCACAGAGGGAGAGGGGTGCTGGGCGTCCAGCCCCGGGGCAGAGCTGGGCAGCAGACAGACCCGCATCCCACAGAGGGAGAGGGGCGCTGGGCATCCAGCCCCGGGGCAGAGCTGGGCAGACCCGCATCCCACAGAGGGAGAGGGGCGCTGGGCGTCCAGCCCCAGGACAGAGCCGGGCAGCAGACCCGCATCCCACAGAGGGAGAGGGGCGCTGGGCGTCCAGCCCCGGGGCAGCCGGCCAGCAGACCCGCATCTCCCAGGAAGAGGCTATGGCCTTTGCAGTATTTAGTCTCAGAAAGCCTCTCTGCTGGGCAGGACGTGTCTGTGCGCGTGGCCCGCACTCGTGCCCGCAGCCCCACAGGTGGTCTCCAGCCACCCCACAGCTCAGCAGGTGTTATCAAGGCCTGGCTCAGGCCAGGTCTGCCCGGAGACGGGAGACGCTGGGGCGGGAAAGGTAAATTCGGTCCTGCAAGGCCTGGTCCAGGCAACTGTCCCGGTTGTCGTGGGGCCCCGCAGCGGTGCGGCCGGGAGGAGCAGGGGCCGGGGTCCGCGCGCCCAGCGCCCAGCTCGGGGCTGGCGGCCGCGGCCCGCGCTGGAGGGAGGGGGAGGGGGCACAAAAAGCAATCAGGAGCGGGTCGAATGCAATCCGCGATCAATAGCGGCCCCTAATAAGTGTAATAGGTTTTAATCGAGTAATTATCCGAATTTTGACCCTATAATTTAGATGTTGGGGGAGCTCGCAAGGTGCTTGAAAGAGATATGCACGCGCCGTAATGGGATATCGACCGCGCGGGGCGCGCGCCGCCCCATTACCGGCGCTTTCCGCCGCTAAGCACATTTCCCCGCAACTGTAATCGAAGGGATTTAATTGTTTTTCCAGAGATAACCAGCGTTTTGTCACAATTAGTCTGATTTGTCCCAAAACGGGGAGGGCGGGAGGCCGGGGTCGCGGGGGGTGGCGGTCACCGCCGCCCGGGCCCCTCCGCCGGCACCGACTTCCCTCCGCGGCCGGGCCTCGGGAGCCCGGGTCCGACGGAGGCCGCGGGCGGGCGGCGCGCGCCCCGTACCCGGCGAACTTTCCACGGAGCGCCCCGCGCCCCGCGCTACTCACTCTGCGGCTCGGCTCCCGCGGCGGCGAGGCTGCGGCGCTCCGGCTCCTCCGCGCGCGGCGGGCGTCCCGGGGCGCACGGGGCGCACGCGGCGGGGCCCGCGGGGCCCGGCAGCACGCAGCGGCGCCTTCTGCTGTTGAACTTATTGGGGTCCAGGATGTCCAGCACCGAGAAGGAGGTGGGGCGCGGGGGCGCGGCGGGCCGGGCCGCGCCCGCACCCTCGGGCGCCGCGGGCGCCGTGTCGCCGGCCGCGAGCGGCGGGGCCCCGGCCCGGGGGAACGCGGGGAGGTCGGCGCGCCCGTCCATGGCGTCCCGAGCTGCGGCGGCGGGCGCGGCGGGCGCGGGCCCCGGGCCGGGCGGCGGCGGCGGCGCGGGCCCGTCCGCGGGAGCCGCCGGGCCGCTGGCGCTCATGCCGGCCTCCCGCCGCTCCGGCGGCTCGCGCCCCGCCGCTCACTGGGCTCCCATGGCCGGCGGCCCGCCGCCCCCGGCCCGGAACCGCCGGCGTGGCCTCCGCCGCCGCCTCAGGCCGCCGGCCCGCGCATTTATGGCGGCCCGGCCGAGGCGCCGGCGCGGCCGCACGCCGCACACCGCACACACGTGCGCCGCCGCCCGCGGCCCCGCCGCCCTCGTTAGCGCGCGCGCCTAATTGGCTGCGAACGGCTCGGGGCGCGGGGGGCGGGCCCCGCGGGGGGGCGGGCCGGAGCCGCGGCCCGGGCGCCGGAGCGCGGACCGCGGGCGGCGGCGCCTCCGCCTCCCGGCCCGGGGCGAACGCGGCCCGGCCGGCCTCGGATTGCTGCGGGGCCCGGCGGCGGCGCGGCGGAGGCCCGCGGAGCCCCGGCCCGGCCCGCACGTCTCTCGCCCGCCTCGCCCCGGGCGGCTGGGGCCCGCGGCGGCCTCGGCCCCTTCCCGGTGATCCCCGAGGCCGGGCTTCGCCGACTGCCGCGGCGGCCGCCGGGCCTGGCGCTCCCGCCGCGGCCCCCGCCCCCCGCGGCGCCCGCCCCCCGCGCGCCATCGAATTAGAGGCCCCGAGGGGGCGGGGCCGCGGCCCCGGGCGCCCATTAGCGGCGCCGTCCGGAGGACGGGGGCTGGACGGCGCGCCCTCCCCGCCTCCGCCCCCGGCCCGGGGGGGGGGGAGGGGGCGGACCGCGCGGGCCCCGCTCCCCCCCCCCCCCCGCCCGGACGGGGTTGGAAAATCGCTGGGACGCCGCCCGCCCGCGGAGACGGCCGTAGCCTCCCCGCCGAGAGGCTGCAGCCCGCGCCCCGCTCGCGGAGAACGCGCTGGCGGCCGCGCGCACGCCCGGGGCCGGGTCCCCGGAGGTCCGGGCGGGCGGAGGGGGGTCCGAGCGCGGGCGGCCGGCCGCGCGTCCCGCCTCCCCGCGCTGGGCGTGCGCGCGCCCCGCCGCGGTCCCCCGAGCCCGCTCGGCGCACCAGGACGGGCCTTCGCAATTACCGCGGGCAATGATCCTTCGGAAGCAGACATTAAAAGTTGGGGGAAACAATAAGGGACCGGTCGGCTGTCATTTGGGCCACGCTCCGACGTCCTGAGCCCGGGCGGCTGGGGCGGGGGCCGCCCCCTCCTCCCCGCGCCCGCCCTCCCGCCGCCCCACTGGCCCGTCCATCCTGAGATTCTAATCAGACCCACGACGCTGTGTCCTTCCTTGCCAGGACTTGATTATTCTTTATCTTTAAATTATAAATCACCTCTGGGGAAGGAGGGTGGGTCATCTCTCATCGGAAGAAGGTAATTATCTCCTTCCCACCCGCTCCCTCCTCTCCCAGCTGGGTTTGAATATAGATGTACACGCCCCATTTACACACACACACACACTCATTCACCAGCGCGGCACACACGCGGGGATTCATTCATGAGCACCAGACACGCGCGCAGGAACACAGCTCGCCAGCGCGCTCGTCCTCCCGCTCCCTCCCCGCCGTGGGGTCTCTGCGGTTCCCGGGGACTGTCCGGTCCCCAACCGCTCTGCTCGCCGGAGACACCGCCAGCAGAGGCGGGGCTCCGGGGAGCGGCGGGCCGGGGGCAGGGCTGCCCGCCAGCCGGGCTCCGAGCGGCCCCGCCGGTGTGCGGGCACCTAGCGCCCGTCACCAGCACCGGGGAGACGCGGGCTCCGCCATAATCTCCGAACAGGCTCGGTCCTCCCCGCGCTGGTTCGGTGGCCGCCGGCTCAGCTCGGCCTGGGAGGGAACGTGCGGGTCCCACCGCTCCCCGGGACCGTTTCCATCCCCGCTGCCGGCGGAGAGGGCGCTTCGCCTGGGTCAGATGCGGTACAGCTGGATCGCGTCCCCACCACGCGCACACACGCGTGTGCGCCCACGCTCGCCTGCTCGCGCGCCAGACGCTGCCCCTCTTGGGGTGGAGGTTGAGTGTGGCGCTGCACAATGGCGTCCTCGAGTTCCTAGCATTTCCCCGGCGCTTCCCCATCTCCCCCGTGTCTTCCCGGCCCCGGACAGGCCGCTGGGGCCGAGGAGGGCGTGAGGCGGCGGGGGTGGATGGGACCCCGCGCAGGACAGAGGGCCTCCTCGCTTTCCCGGGCCGGGCGCTGTGTGCACGGGGTGCGGCCTCCGTCCCCCCATCCCCGTCCCCCCATCCCCGGGCCGGGCGCTGTGTGCACGGGGTGCGGCCTCCGTCCCCCCATCCCCGTCCCCCCATCCCCGGGCCGGGCGCTGTGTGCACGGGGTGCGGCCTCCGTCCCCCCATCCCCGGGCGCTGTGTGGACGGGGTGCGGCCTCCGTCCCCCCATCCCCGGGCGCTGTGTGTGCACGGGGTGCGGCCTCCGTCCCCCCATCCCCGTCCCCCCATCCCCGGGCCGGGCGCTGTGTGCACGGGGTGCGGCCTCCGTCCCCCCATCCCCGGGCGCTGTGTGGACACGGGGTGCGGCCTCCGTCCCCCCATCCCCGGGCGCTGTGTGCACGGGGTGCGGCCTCCGTCCCCCCATCCCCGGGCGCTGTGTGGACACGGGGTGCGGCCTCCGTCCCCCCATCCCCGGGCGCTGTGTGGACGGGGGGTGCGGCCTCCGTCCCCCCATCCCCGGGCGCTGTGTGGACGGGGGGTGCGGCCTCCGTCCCCCCATCCCCGGGCGCTGTGTGGACACGGGGTGCGGCCTCCGTCCCCCCATCCCCGGGCGCTGTGTGGACGGGGGGGGGTGCGTCTCCCGTCCCCCCATCCCCGGGCGCTGTGTGCACGGGGTGCGGCCTCCGTCCCCCCATCCCCGGGCGCTGTGTGTGCACGGGGTGCGTCTCCCCCGGGCGCTGTGTGTGCACGGGGTGCGTCTCCCGTCCCCCCATCCCCGGGCCGGGCGCTGTGTGGACGGGGTGCGGCCTCCGTCCCCCCATCCCCGGGCGCTGTGTGTGCACGGGGTGCGTCTCCCGTCCCCCCATCCCCGGGCCGGGCGCTGTGTGCACGGGGTGCGTCTCCCGTCCCCCCATCCCCGGGCGCTGTGTGCACGGGGTGCGGCCTCCGTCCCCCCATCCCCGGGCGCTGTGTGTGGACGGGGTGCGGCCTCCGTCTCCCCATCCCCGGGCGCTGTGTGGACACGGGGTGCGGCCTCCGTCCCCCCATCCCCGGGCCGGGCGCTGTGTGTGGACGGGGTGCGGCCTCCGTCCCCCCATCCCCGGGCGCTGTGTGGACACGGGGTGCGGCCTCCGTCCCCCCATCCCCGGGCGCTGTGTGGACGGGGGGGGGGGGTGCGTCTCCCGTCCCCCCATCCCCGGGCGCTGTGTGCACGGGGTGCGGCCTCCGTCCCCCCATCCCCGGGCGCTGTGTGTGCACGGGGTGCGTCTCCCCCGGGCGCTGTGTGTGCACGGGGTGCGTCTCCCGTCCCCCCATCCCCGGGCCGGGCGCTGTGTGGACGGGGTGCGGCCTCCGTCCCCCCATCCCCGGGCGCTGGCGCTGTGTGTGCACGGGGTGCGTCTCCCGTCCCCCCATCCCCGGGCCGGGCGCTGTGTGGACGGGGTGCGGCCTCCGTCCCCCCATCCCCGGGCGCTGTGTGTGGACGGGGTGCGTCTCCCGTCCCCCCATCCCCGGGCCGGCCCGGGGCGCGGGGTGCCCGGCACCTCCCCACCCAGCGCAGATCACAATGGGCGCGCACCAGGCTCTCCCTGTGGGTCGCGGCCCACCTGCCATCTCGGGTTACGGCCGGGTCGCCGGCGGCACTCGCGGCCCCGGCGGGCTCGGACGGTGCGGCCGCGTCCGGGCGGAGACCTCGGGGCTCGGGCGGCCGGGGCCCCGGGGGCGGCGCTGTGAAGTTCGAGGGGGCAAAAGGCAGCAGGTCCCCGGCCCGGCCCCGCCCTGGGGCTCCCGTGGTCCCGTGGGTCGTGGGACGGCCCCGGCCCCCAGCGCCTCCGCCCTCGGCCACCCTGTCTCCTCTCGGGCCCCAGGGCTCCGGGTCGGCGGCGGCAGCGGGGTCCGGGCCTGGCAACGAGGACGTCCCTGTGCCCCGCGCGCACGCGCCTGCACAACACGCGGGGCCGAGCCGGCGCGGGCGGCGGGCGGGGCGCGGGTCTGCGCCGCCCCTCCGGGACGCGGCGGACTCCGGGGAGGGGGGACAGCCCGGAGGGGGCGGGCAGCCGCGCCCACCCGAGGGCGGGTCAGCGCCACGGACAGCGGCCTCCGCCGCGGGTCGGAGGGTCAGCGCGCGGCGCGCGGCTTCCCCGAGGCGGAGCTCGCGCCCGGGCAGCGCCCCGACGGCCACTGCGCCGAGTCCGGACCCGGTGTCCCGGGTTCGACGCCACCGCCCTCCCCCCCGAGCCCGGACCCCGAGCGTGCGCGGCGTGGCTCCCCGAAGGCGAGCCCCAGGCGGGGCCACAGGCCGGGGTCCCCCGCCCCTCCCGTGCGGGGCCACAGGCCGGGGTCCCCCGCCCCTCCCGTGCGGGGGCCACAGGCCGGGGTCCCCCGCCCCTCCCGTGCGGGGCCACAGGCCGGGTCCCCCGCCCCTCCCGTGCGGGGCCACAGGCCGGGGTCCCCCGCCCCTCCCGTGCGGGGCCACAGGCCGGGGTCCCCCGCCCCTCCCGTGCGGGGCCACAGGCCGGGTCCCCCGCCCCGCACCGCGGCCCCGCGCGCCCACCCTCGGTCCGCACCGCCTCCCGCCTCAGTCCCGGCGTCCAAACGCCGCGGCGTCCTCGGCGATCCGCGGCCCGAGCTTCCCGGAAATCCCGGAAATCGCTCCGCTCGGGGTCACGGCGACTCCCCCCCCCCCCCACCTGCCTCGGGGTCACGGCGACTCCCCCCCCCCCGCCTCGGGGTCACGGCGACTCCCCCCAACCCCCGCCTCGGGGTCACGGCGACTCCCCCCCCCCACCCCCCCCCGCCTCGGGGTCACGGCGACTCCCCCCCATCCCCCGCCTCGGGGTCACGGCGACTCCCCCCCCCCCCCGCCCGCCTCGGGGTCACGGCGACT